TTTTCTACCTAATTCATCTTTACTATCAACATATGCAAACAAAGTAATTGCCAAACTACAACAATCTTTAACTATTTAATAAGAATCTTAGATCATCCCTATTCTAAGCTTCCTTAATGGAATTCTATAAAACTAATAATCTTTAATTAGTTAGGATAATATGTTTATAAATAACAATAATGTTTTTCTTCAAAATGTAGTAGACTCTTTTAAAGTATTAAATTCGACTACTTAAACTCTTTAAAATAATTTGATATCTCAACAAATGAATATATCAGACTAAATATGCAGTTACCTAAGTAAAGCAACTCTACCTAATTAAGGAGGAGTATAGCTATAAGGAAATTTAATATCACTTGATTGCTCATAAATTACTTCAAAAAACCTTAAATATATTATTAATGATTATTAGGATTCACTAGCAGCAGACGTCTATTATTTAGGTTAGACTACTTATTCTAGAAATCCCTTCCAACAAACATCTGAATTCTAGAAATATATTTAAGAATTAAAATAAGTAGACTCAAGCATAGCAATTACTATGAATCCAGTAATAAAATATTCATTAGACTTAGTAAATGCAAGCTCAAATAGATTATTATATCAATAAGGTTCTAACTTTGAACAAGCGAGAGATATACTTAGCAATAGAAAATTAATTAATGAAAATTAATAGGATAATCAATAAAAACTTTTTATTTTTAAATTTTAAGACCTTTAACCCTCTAATAATAATTAAACATGCCTTTAAATGCAATAATCATAAGCTTGGTCTTCTAATGGATGTACCTATTTAACTAACAATAATAAATACTATTGCTACTGCAAAAGCACAAGTCCTACAACTGTGATTGATGATCTAGAATCATTGCTTATTAATAAAAATTTAAAAACAGCTTTTAGTTCATAAGGATTTAATAAATTAACTAATTTTGATATATTTTATTAATATGCTCTTGTTTGGACTATTTTTACTATAACTTTATTATAATTGGGTTTATATAAATATGGAACAATTCTAGACAAAAAATTTAGCAAAACTACTATCTCATAGATTATGCCAATGGCTGCATCTGAATAAGAAAATCCTCCTATTAGTTAAAAAAATTAGACTCCAAGTTTGCAATACTAAAGTATCTAAGAATTAAATGGTGTTATATAGTAAAATAACAATTAAAATTAGAATTTTTTCATAAATTCTAATAGTCAAGCAAGAAGAAAAAAACAAAAATTTTTAAATACTTTAACAATTTTAAAAAATGAAAAAATTGAATCAAACTAAATCGAGATTTTAAAATTAGACAATTAAATATCAACCGAGTAACCAAATTAGCTGAAAAATCTTAATAATTAACCACTTTAAATTTAGGAATAAGTCTAATCAGAGTAGATTTAAGAGTTAAAGTAACCACAAATTTATGATGAAAAGCTAAATTAAGGTTAATTAATAGCTTTTTAAGAAGTATAATAAGACAAATTAATAAATTCAAATAAGACAACTGTAAGTACATTTTAAGATTAGAGCAGCAAAATTAATTTAATAAATGAAGATATTAAATTAAAGGAAGATGAAATTTAAACTATTGAACATCTTAAAAAATTATCACTTTTAATATAATTTAAAGTGTTTCACGCATACTTTAATACAATATATACATATGAGCCATCTCTTTCAAGACCAATAAGATTCAATATTATTTACTTGAGGGTAGTCCACTCTTTATGTCTGTCAACAGTATTTGATGAAAGTTACAATGTAATTTAAAAAATAGTAATTTCAATAGTTAGCGCAATAATAGTAGAAGTAGGAGTTTTCTTTATAGAATTAGTGCATAAAATAACAAGAATAGGTCAAAAATTATCTACATTTTTTATGGTATGTTTATTATTATTTTATTATTACGTAATTTTAGCTGTTATAAGTAACGAAGAGCCAAGTTATGCTAATTCAAAATACGTTTAATTCTTTCTAGTTATAGGAATTGATTTTATCGTTGTTTAATCAATCTTGGCATTTCTTAAGATTATTACATTGAAAAATTTATAATAGAGGAAAATATTCTATAAATTATATACTATTTTCGGTTTAAGCAAAGTTGTGTCAAGCTTAACTATCTGAAATAAATAGAATTAAATTTTATTGTTATTGTTTTATATTATGTATTGTTTATTTTAAATCTAATCAAATTTATATTATCATTATCTTTAAATTTCTAAAATTTTATTTATTTTCTTTTCAGAAACTTTTAATTTAAATAATTTTCATAATTAAATCTTACATTTACTGTTTGAACAGTGTTAAAAAATTTAATAAAGTAAGAAATAAAATAAGTAAAATGCTTAAAATTTATTTAAAAAATTAAAATAATATTTTAAATTTTTGATAAGGAATATCCTCTTTTCCCTATTACATTAATTTGTTAATATTAAAAAAAATTATTTTTTTTTATCAATATTTGAGTATTTTCTTAATTAAAAATATTCAGGTTAGCTAATTGATATAAAACAATAAACTTATATTTTTTTAAGATAGCATTCTTCTTTTTAGAAGCCATTTTTATTATCGAATCTTTAATAAATGCTTTCTTGTGTCTGTGTTATAAATATAGAAAGAAAATAAAAAATAATAAAATTGAAAATTATTTAATTAAAAATTTAGTTGCAATTAATAATTATTGTTTTTAATACTTGACACAGAAAAAAAAAGCTAAACAAAATATGTATAAATATAAATAATAGAATTAATTAATTAAATTTTAATTTCACATTAGTTTCTTAAATTCATATAAGATGTTTTCTAAAAAAATATTTTTAAAATTATCTAACAATTTTGTCACAGCATCGTTATCGTACTCTTTTTATATTATATTTTTTAAATTATTTTTATTTTAAATACATTTAAATATCCATATACATAATTTCATTTATCAATTTCAATTTACTTTTTTTTTTTAATTAATTTCTTATTATTTCATATTTTTTCTTCATTTTTCCCTTCTAATATGATATTTTAAACTATAAAAATGAATATAACACAAAAAAGCTCTTTGAATATATTTGATAACTTTATTTATTTTATTTTTTTATCTTTTTTATTCCACTAAAATTATTTTATGTATTAATTTAAAGAATAATTTTTAATTTAAAAGTTTATTCTATTTTGATATTTATTTTAAAATTTACACAAATTTATTATAAAATGTTTAGCTCAATGAATGAATCATTAGGACTCAAGGTAAAAAGCAAGTTTCTTAAATCAAAAAGATTAGTTGTCTTTCATTTCAAATGATAAACAAATGGTTAAAAAGAATGAATAAATATAAAATGTTTGAATTGTATTATATATTTTATTATATAATATTTTGGAAAAGTTTTTAACCTAAAATATAGATAGATAGATAGATTTTATTATTGATTTTATATTATTAAATATCATTCATATTTTTGTAAGTAAATAAATTATTTATAAAAAATAAAAAAATTAAATTTACTTAAATAAATTAAATCATCATAAGCAAACTCTCTGGTTTCTCTAAAAATGATCAAATAATTTGAAACTTTTAGTATTATATTAAATCTTATTAAATTATATAAATGCCAAACTTTTTAGTTATGAATTTATTTCTAATAATAATTTATAATCTAAAAAAAAGCTCTACTTACTTTTATTAATTTTTTAATTTTATAAATTAAGATAAAACAAAATTAAAATAAAATTTGTAAAACAATAAAGTAAAATAAATTTGAAAACAAACTAACAAAAAAAAGAATAAATCAGAAAAAAAATAAATAATAAAATAAATAACTTTTAAAATAATAAAATTACTAAATCCTTATTGTATTCATATTTTTTAAAAAAGACCCAAAAATATAAAAATTTTATTAAATCAACAAAATTGATTTTTTATATATTACCTTTTTTCTATTTTTCACTCGAATAATGAGGATTAAGAAACTATGGTATTCAATTCAATTATTATTTCAAGATAAATTTTGTAATATTGTATCAATAAAATAATGAGAAAAATAAAAAATACATTAAAAAATTACAAAGAAAACGCAATTATATCTTAATAATAAAATTTTGGAAACTAATAAATTGATAAATATAATAAAATGATAAATTAAAAATTAATAAAAATGAAAAAAATGGATTTTTTAAATCTATTTAAAAATAATAGCTATTATAAAATAATTATTAACTAAAAACAATTTATTCATTTTTAAATAAAATTTCACCTACCTAGGGGCTCGAACCCTCGACCACCAGCTTAAAAGGCTGGCACTCTACCGACTGAGCTAGACGGGTTTAATATAAATAATTTATTATTTATCAAAAACTTTTATAACTAAAATCATTTTTAAATTAACTTTGAATAGTTTTTTTTTTTATTTTCTTTAAATCCAAAGTAAATAAAAAATATTTTAAGTAGTTTAAATTTATTAATTTAGATTTATTTATCAATAACTCCAAGGGATAATATGCAAAAAGGAGTTTTTTAAATAAATATTTTAGATTTAAATAAAATATTTTTTGATAATTTAATATATTAATGATAAGAATATTTTTCAAATACCAATAACATTTTGCTATTTTTAAGTTTTAAAAGCTCATTTTTATTTTATATTCTCTTCTAAAATCCTTTTTTACTGGATGAAATCAAATCTTCAAGCATAATTTTTATATTAATGAGTTCATATTCTAATAAAGTACTTCAAATATTTGTTTTGAATTTATAATCATGAAAAAAACATGAAAATACTAGTTGTTTATTCATACTATAAAGGTTTTAAACAAAAAATTAAAATTAAAAATTGGATTTATTTTCTTCATAATTTAATTTTAGCATATATGGTTTGTTAATAAAGAAACAAAGTTACTAACTATATTTGGTACAATCCTTACTCTAATTTTTGTCATATCTACGCTTTCATTTTTCATTTATATTATTAAGTAATACTCTACAATCAGATAGAACCTGCTTCAGATTTACAATTTTATGACTTATGATAGGTTTGATACGCCTTTAACAAAAGATTTAGTTGTATTCAGATTTTAAACTGTTAATGGCCCTTAAATTAACTCAAAAGACAAAATATTTTTAGTTTATATTGCTTGTTTTTATAACATTTCTCTAAATATTAATTAATTCCTTCAGCTTGATGTTACTTAATGTATAAAACCTAATCTTTAAGGTTTCTATTGCTTGGACTTTTCAAAAGTCTCAAAACACACTTCAACTCTAAGCAATAATGAAAGCATCTAATCTAAAATTGAGATTTTCACTTATGGATGTTTGGGTATAGATAGCATCAAGACGACTGTTCCAAAAAGCTGCACTAATTAAACTAAAATAGATAATTAGATAAATGGCTTTAATTCTATCCTAAGATTTATAATATATATTTTATCATAAATTGAGTCAAGTTACAAAGTTACATGAATGCTTTTATCTACACAGTTGCTTATCAGGCTATTCTTTGTAAATACCGCATCAGCAGGTATCATCAATAAAACAAGTACTAATCTTTTTTAGAGAGGATTTGCTTTCTCTTCACTAATATAATATATTTAGTAGAAATAAGTCTAGGATAAATAATATGCTCTTTATAATACCTATATATAAGCTTATTTAATTGCAATCATTTTTCTTAATGAAATTTCTTAGTAAATTCAAATCTTATATTCTCTCTTCCATCTTCCATTAGTGATAGCTTTAGTCAATATCATTTTTACTCTACAAAAGCGGTTGCCATTTTTTTTTAAGTTTTCTAAGTATTTTTATGTTTTACATGCTTTTTGTACGAATTTTTAAAATATAGATAAAGATCTATCTCAATTATTCAGATTAAGATTTTAGCATGCCTGAATCCTACTTTTTCAGCAGTGGTCATTTTTACAAGGGAAAAGTATATATATATGTATGTAACGAGGGCATGCAATTTTCAATTTTTTTTAAAATAATTTTTTGGCCCTGAGGTTTTTAGTATACTGACAATAAAAGTTTTTTAAAAAGTCTAAAAATGCTGCCCTCTAAAGTAAAAGATTTGGTAGAAGAAAAATTATGATCTCTTTTTTGTGCCTGCTGATCAAATAATCCTCCGATTATAAATTCTCTAACCAAAAATAAAAGAAAAAATGATTGGATTTCTAAGCTAGAATCTTTTAATAAATAGAAGAAGGAAAATTATTCAAAAAAACTTAAACAAATTAAAGGAAAAAGGTAAAAAAATTAATTGAAAATATCAATTTTCATATTAAATATATCAATAAAATTGATATTCAACTATAATCTTAAACTAATATTAATTTCTAAGAAATTTCTTTGAATGCATATATATTATTTTAATGTATGCATGTATGTATGTATGTATGTAATTTTAATTTATTCAATTTAATTTAATTTAGATTTTCTTTATTATTATTGATAAAAGGCTTATAATCCATTTATGTTGCGAAACAGTTTTTACTTTTGAATATTTATATTTCATTTATGATAAAAACTTTAATCAAGAAGAAAAAAGTTTTATATTGTTAACAGGCTTCATCATTAGTGTTTAGTGGTAGAAGAGCGTTTTAAAGAGGTAGTGCATGAATTCATAATTTGTGATTATAAAGGTTAGAGTATTTATTAAATTCATTAAACTCAAAATATTTTAAAAGTTATTATGGCTATCAGTTTCAGACTTCAAACAAAATGAAGCTAAGTAAATGTAGAATATGATGTATAAATTTCATAATCATTTTTTTAAAAAAACTTTTAAATTTTATTGTCTAAAAAGTCAAAATAAACCATTATTATTTTCTTTTCTCGAATAACTCAATTTTTATGATCTCAGCAGCAAAATTATAAGTTAAAAAAGGGAATATTATTATTTAATGTATGTTTATTGAGTTGGAAACAGGTAGATTCTTTTAACAATTTATTAATATTAGTACTTATAAATGAGGTTTCTTTAATTTATTCATAAGTAAGGAACTTAGAATTAATATAAATAATTTTAAAGTCAAAACTTTTACAAAAAATTGACATAAATAAACATTTTTTTTTCAATTAGTTAATATAATGTTTTATATTCCAAATATAAAAGTGAAGATTATTAACTTAATAATAAATTGTAAAAACAAACTGATATATTTTCTTTTATGTTATAAATCTGTCAAGTTTACATATAGGAGGATTGAGTCAAGAAATTCGAAGCAAAATAAAAGAAAGAATTTCAATTCATAATTTTAGTTATTTATTGAGGAAAAACACATTTGTGACGTATTAATTAAATTGATTCATCTGTTAATTAATATATTGAGCAATACAATAATGAGTTTTGATTCCTACTAAAAAATATTTAATGTACAAGGGATATAATTTCAATAGTTTAATTTATCTTTAATTTAAAAATGAGAACTTGCTCTTTTATAAATTTAGGAATATTTATTTGAATAAATAAATATGATTTTTATAGTTATTTAGCCTCTGCTCAGGACTGTAAGCATTAGCAAAGGCTCATATGGTTAAAAGTTAAGAATAATAAAAATCAATTATTTTTTGAGATTATCAATCTATATTGTTTTAGGACTTAAGATATTTAGAGGATGGGGATTAAATCAATATTTAGTTGTCTTATAAAAGAAATTTACTTGTTTATTTATTTTGCGCCTTAAAGAGGGAACTATAAATCTGAAGCATATTCAGCTTTAAATATATATTATTTATTAATTAAAAAAATTAAAATCAAAAAAAACTAAATGTTAATAAAGGAATACATCAAATTAGGCAATCTGCTTTATAAGTTTTTTTGTAAATAAAATATCCTATCTATTTTTAATAAATTTATTTTTAATTTATAAGATCTGCTTTTGCTAATAAGTTTGATTTCAGCATAAACTTGGAACTTAGTTACTGGGCAATATGATCATAATGTTATTAATACTAACCTTTTAGGAAACCCTTAGAATATATGCAACATTCAAACAGTTGTAAATTTTAATGGAATAACAGTTAATATCAAGAATTAGAAAGTGTATTTCTTTTTTTACTTGAAAAAAATACTATTTTATTTATTTTATTAAAAAGTCCTTCTTTTAAAGGAATTTATTACCAAATATAAATGAATACACCATAATCAAATCAACCAAAGATTGAAACTAAAGTTGATGGCGAAGTAATTCCAAGAGATTTTAGTGATGATATTCAAAATTGTCATGACGCACCACAAAATTCACGTTATTTTAAATATTAAGGTAGTATAACTTTTAGAAACTAATAAAACAAAGCTGATATTAACATTTCTGGCGTTGCTATGGCTTATATTTATAAATTTGAAATAACGCTTTAATTGATTCAGGTATTTTAGAAATTTAATTGAATTCAAAAGATATTTTTTAAAAATAAAATATAACTATCTAAATTAGTGAAATAATTATTTACTCTAATTATCAAAAGTTGATCATTAAATTTGTTTAGTTATTTACAGCAAACTTCTTTAAAATGTTTTATATATTTTAATTCGATTTTAGAAAAAAAAAATTGGTATTAATATTTGCTTTTTCTAATGAGTAGTGGTATTACTTTAGGTTATTCTTAAATAGATATTCAGCCTTTCCACCTTCCTAATTTTATATTAATAAATTTATTTTCTGCAATTTTTAAAATTCAAATCTTTTTAATTTCTAACTTTTTGTTAAAATAAAAGTGTCAAGAAGGGTGCTATTATTGCCTTGATGGTTAAAACTGCTAAGAAAATTCTTGCTTGAGTGGATTTAATTACATGATTTCTAGTTACTTTATATAGAATTAATAAATTTGCAATAGAATTTGCCCAAATGGATAATATACTAAATTTATTGGTTAAAATCCTCTTACGTAAAATTGTTAAAATTGTATTAGCAATTGCTTAATCTGTACTGATCAAAATCAATGCAGCTAATGTATTACTGGATACTATTTTGATTCTCAATAAAAATTATGTATTGTAATGTTACTTTTTTTATTGAATTTAATTTTAAGTTATTTGAATTTAAGATTTTTTGAAATTAGATTAAAAATAGTCATAAACTAGATATATTTTTTATCATGAAATAAAATTCTATTTTTAATAACTTTTATTGTTTTTAATAAAATTATTTTCCTAATTTAAAAATTTCAAACCTATTTTGATTCGTTAATTAAATATATTCTTTACTTTAGAAACTAACATGTGTTGAAGGATGTTCTAATTGTAGCTAAAATAAATAAAGTTGTACTTAATGCATGAGTGGATACACTCAGATGGTGAATCCAAACAATAGCGCCCTACAGTACTGCTAAAAAAATTGTGCAGTGGGATAGTACAATTTCGTGATTGAAAATACTTACATGACATAGTAGTGCAGATCTTGTATTGCTAATTGCCAAACCTGTACTGGACCTAATGACTGCAGTAACTGTTATTCTGGATATGGATATAATTCTCAAACAAAATAATGCGCAGTAATTATTTTCCATTATTTTATCAAAATAATTATTTCTAACTACTTTAGAAATATAAAATTATAAATATTAATTAGTTTTATCTTAAAGGATTAAGATAATTTTTTTGTAAGTTTAGTTTTTTAAATAAAAGCAATTTTTAACTTTATATTTATTTAACTACTTAAACAAATATTTTATTTTTCCATAAAATAGCAATGTTATCAAGGATGTTCTAATTGTGATTAAAATTTAAGTTGTACTCAATGCATTAGTGGATATACTTAAACTGCAAACCCAAATAATAATTCATAATAATATTGCAAAATGATTTGCCCAATAGGATAATTCTAATTTATTAATTGGTAAACCATGGCTTAGTAGTGCAACCCTTGTATAACTAATTGTACATAATGTTCTCAAGATAAATAATGTGACAATTGTGCTGCAAACTATGAGTTCGTTCAATAAGTATATTAATGTAAAATGATATGCCAACAAAATTAATATAGAGATTCAACTTTATATAATTGCACAAATTGCGTTAGCAATTGCCAATAATGCGTAGATGGGTAAAGTTGCAGTTAGTGCTAAAGCAATTACGAGTATATTAGTTAAGTAAATTCTTGCTTACTTATTTGCAATCAGAATTAGTACAGAAACCCACAAAATAACTATTTATGTGCTGATTGCATAGATAATTGTGCATCTTGTACTAATGGATAAAGCTGTACTACTTGTGTATAGGATTATGAGTATATTTAGTAAGTCAGTAAATGCATGCATATTTGTTCATAAAATTAATTTAGAGATTCTACTTAAAATTATTAATGTATAAATTGTCATTCATCATGCTAATCATGCACAGGACCAGCTTAAAGCTAATGTAGTAGCTGTTATTAAGGATGGTATTAACTCGGATCATATTGCTATCAGTGGTGCCCAAATAATTACAAAGAAGATTCAACGTTGTGGTAATGTGTCTAATGCTAAGAATACATAAAACCAGATTGCTAAGCATGTGCTAACACATGTAAATCTTGTTAATATAAGTAAAGTGATATATGTTTAGACTGTTATGATTCTATGGAAATGTCAGGGAATACGTGCATTTGCAAAAATAAACTTGATACAAGAGGTATTTTCTATGAGTGTAGCTATAATAATATTGCTGTTTTACAAGCTACTTTAGCAATAGATTCTCCTACTATGATTATTGATTTTGGTGTTGCTTTGACATAAATTTAAAACTTTTAGTGTAATACTATATTTTAAGATAGTACTCTTCAACTTCTTGGCAATCTTCCAAATTGCTCTATACAAGATACTAAAATCAAAATTTAACTAGGTAAATTTAACTATAATTTTTTGAAAAAATTAAATATATTCTTATTAATAGGTAATGATGCTTAAATAATGGAAAACGATAATCTCTCATTCATTTCAAATGTTCTGAGTTATTAAATTAGTAGCACTTTCTTAATAGACACATTTTACTTGACCAAAGTTCAGCAGTAAAGGAGTGATACTCAACAGCCTTAAGTTACTATTCAATTCAGTAAAACTCAAAATAATTGCTATGACATCATTTTTTCAGTAGCAAATATTATAAATGATGCTTAAAGAGGGTTCAAAAGCTTTGCTTGGAGTATATTATCTTCGCCTAGCTTAGATTAAAACAGCCTTTAAGCAGTTAATAGTATTGTCGATAATGCTAACAGTTAAAAGAGTACCTCTTTAATAATTTTAAAGCAACTAATTCCTGCAAACACTCAAATTACTGCTACTTTCTAATATTTACTTAAAGTGAATTCTTCATAAAAATTGTTTTTCTCAACACTCTTTATCAGATAAAAAGACATAGTTACTAAATTTTAAACTTAAAGCTATCCAATTTATAGGTAAAATACTTAATTTTATTCTTAAAATAGAGTAGATTATTTACATTTAAAGACTGTTTGAAAAACAAAAATTACTAATATAGAAAAAAAGACTATTAAACATAATTAAATAAAAAAAAATGTTTTAAAAATAGATATATGGATTTACAAATTTATGTCTCTTTCTATGTGCAAATATGTGATTAGAGTGGACCAAAAATTACTAACGAACCTCTTAACATACAGATAAACTCTAAAAGTGTGCCAAAGCTGAATTAAAACCTATCACAATTTAAATATAATTAAACATAAATTTTAGTCAAAAAATATTCTATTCCTCCTTAAACTATTTTTGATTTAAACGTAAACTAAATTTTAAAATTTAAATATTTATCAAATTGTTTAAAAATATAATAATAAAGGTAAATGCCTCTCTAGTCAGTGATTCATCAATTACTAATTTAAAATCTTAAACTATTACACCTAACATATCTAATTTATTTATATAGATTGTAGGTGGATAAAAAGGAGTGTTTGGTTTCAAACAGCCCTTAAATTTAACTGGATTAGCAAGAGACTTTGAGCTTGAAGACCCAAACTAAGATTAACAAATTAATTTAAAGTGGGATTGCGTTTCCCTTACCTCTAATCAAAATGATAATAAGTGCTATGACTATAATAATCACCCAATTATTTTGCAGCAAAATGTTCCTAGTATTTCGATACCAGGTTCTACTTTTAGCCCATATTAATCTCTTTTGTTTACTTTTACAGGAACCAAAGATTCCCGTTAGTAATCTTAATCAACTATGGTCATCTTATCAGAAACTGATATTCCTATTTTAATTGCTAACTTTAAGGATCTATCTTAGTTGATATAAGTCAACATTAACTAAGATATTGATGCAACTCTCATATATGGAAGTAATGTTTCATCTGACTTGCTAAGCTATGCTGGTGCAATACTTTATAATAATATGGTAGTAGGAGCTATAAAATTTGATTATTATAAAGTGAGGTTTAGAATTTGGGATTATTTCGTAAATGTTCTTCCATCAAACCCTATTGTATAAGTCAGATTCAGTGCATACAATCCTTATTACATTATGCCTAGTTTAAGTATTACTAATTTTAATATAAATTTACCACCCAAAAATTGTGTACTATCTGTAAACACTCCTAGTGGATAAGCTCTATAAACAATTTTTTAAATAAAAATGTCTGGTTGCACCTCAGCTAATTCACCTATATCTTATTAATTCTTTTACTACCTTAGTGATACTGATTATTAGTAAGAATAGATATCCCCAAATTACATCCTAAGAAGGTAAATAATGGATTAAAGCTTACAAAACGAATTTTATACTGTACTCCCTTCAGGGAATTTAATATTAATGGGTTAGGCTATTGATAATTTTTTAGCTGTTTACAATACAACTGTATAGGTAAACATATAACCATTTGCTCAAAACGAAATTTAAATAAACAGTATTATTGACTAAGCTTTACAAATTAATAGTGACTAAACAATTTCCTAAATTATTTTAAACCTATGTGTGATAGGAGAAGAAATATCTAAGAACTACCCAGTTTATAACCTTGAATCAGTTAAAACTAAAAAATCTTAGCTCATTTAATTAATAATAAACTAAGTCAATTTTCTACCTAATTCATCTTTACTATCAACATATGCAAACAAAGTAATTGCCAAACTACAACAATCTTTAACTATTTAATAAGAATCTTAGATCATCCCTATTCTAAGCTTCCTTAATGGAATTCTATAAAACTAATAATCTTTAATTAGTTAGGATAATATGTTTATAAATAACAATAATGTTTTTCTTCAAAATGTAGTAGACTCTTTTAAAGTATTAAATTCGACTACTTAAACTCTTTAAAATAATTTGATATCTCAACAAATGAATATATCAGACTAAATATGCAGTTACCTAAGTAAAGCAACTCTACCTAATTAAGGAGGAGTATAGCTATAAGGAAATTTAATATCACTTGATTGCTCATAAATTACTTCAAAAAACCTTAAATATATTATTAATGATTATTAGGATTCACTAGCAGCAGACGTCTATTATTTAGGTTAGACTACTTATTCTAGAAATCCCTTCCAACAAACATCTGAATTCTAGAAATATATTTAAGAATTAAAATAAGTAGACTCAAGCATAGCAATTACTATGAATCCAGTAATAAAATATTCATTAGACTTAGTAAATGCAAGCTCAAATAGATTATTATATCAATAAGGTTCTAACTTTGAACAAGCGAGAGATATACTTAGCAATAGAAAATTAATTAATGAAAATTAATAGGATAATCAATAAAAACTTTTTATTTTTAAATTTTAAGACCTTTAACCCTCTAATAATAATTAAACATGCCTTTAAATGCAATAATCATAAGCTTGGTCTTCTAATGGATGTACCTATTTAACTAACAATAATAAATACTATTGCTACTGCAAAAGCACAAGTCCTACAACTGTGATTGATGATCTAGAATCATTGCTTATTAATAAAAATTTAAAAACAGCTTTTAGTTCATAAGGATTTAATAAATTAACTAATTTTGATATATTTTATTAATATGCTCTTGTTTGGACTATTTTTACTATAACTTTATTATAATTGGGTTTATATAAATATGGTACAATTCTAGACAAAAAATTTAGCAAAACTACTATCTCATAGATTATGCCAATGGCTGCATCTGAATAAGAAAATCCTCCTATTAGTTAAAAAAATTAGACTCCAAGTTTGCAATACTAAAGTATCTAAGAATTAAACGGTGTTATATAGTAAAATAACAATTAAAATTAGAATTTTTTCATAAATTCTAATAGTCAAGCAAGAAGAAAAAAACAAAAATTTTTAAATACTTTAACAATTTTAAAAAATGAAAAAATTGAATCAAACTAAATCGAGATTTTAAAATTAGACAATTAAATATCAACCGAGTAAACAAATTAGCTGAAAAATCTTAATAATTAACCGCTTTAAATTTAGGAATAAGTCTAATCATAATCAGAGTAGATTTAAGAGTTAAAGTAACCACAAATTTATGATGAAAAGCTAAATTAAGGTTAATTAATAGCTTTTTAAGAAGTATAATAAGACAAATTAATAAATTCAAATAAGACAACTGTAAGTACATTTTAAGATTAGAGCAGCAAAATTAATTTAATAAATGAAGATATTAAATTAAAGGAAGATGAAATTTAAACTATTGAACATCTTAAAAACTTATCACTTTTAATATAATTTAAAGTGTTTCACGCATACTTTAATACTATTTATACATATGAGCCATCTCTTTCAAGACCAATAAGATTCAATATTATTTACTTGAGGGTAGTCCACTCTTTATGTCTGTCAACAGTATTTGATGAAAGTTACAATGTAATTTAAAAAATAATAATTTCAATAGTTAGCGCAATAATAGTAGAAGTAGGAGTTTTCTTTATAGAATTAGTGCATAAAATAAC